CTGGACAGCCACAGACAGCAGCTAATGTTTCCACAGCTAACTACAAAGAGACCCATTATTAACAGTCGCTTCTCCTAATTTCCAGATTACCACTCTGCCCTAACAAGGCTTATAGGTATTAAACATTTATCTTGAGAGAAAAAAATTGAAACTTCTGAGAAAACCAATCTGGTGCTGATTTTAGGCTGACGTTACAATTTACAGACGCTTGAGAGAAACCCCAAGGTTACTACTCTCACGTTTTTGTGTTTTATGAGTCCTTAGTTTATATTTACGATACTAACAGAAAAAGATATATAAGAATTAGCTGAGTATTCCAGTAATCTGCCCTTTAAAGAGAGATACTTTTTCAGCTCACTGACTGCTGGTATAAATGCCAGGAGAGACAAAGGCAACAACATTGGAAAACTTAGGTTATCACCAAAATCGCATCATGTGGCAACGGGCCCGAAGCCACTGTTCCCAGGACACTTGGAGCGTTGTAACAGCTGGCACTGCAGCGGTTAGACATCACAGAAACTTGAAATGTGAGGGTCGACAGATTTTTGATAAACTTGGCTCACATTTACCTAGGCGTCCTTTAAATACCATAATCAACACATTTTTTAAAAAAAATTAGAAAACGTGAAGTACGGAAATTAAAATCCTCAGCAATAATTACACTTTTTTCATAATCTCAATTCTGAACGTAAAGAAATCAATGTGAGGACTCCGTGGACTCTACAGACGCCGACTTGCCGTCCTCCTCGTCAGGGTCAAAACGTTCATGTTAAAGGAGAGAGAAACACCTGTCCTAGGCCTGTCCTGCGGGTTTAATGCCACCAAGACGATCTGCACTGAGTTTTTAGTCCTAGGATATTTACAAAATACTTTTTCGTTTTAGAAGTATTCTTTCTCAGAGAATGAAACATTTGGAAGCAAGAACACTAAAGTTTGAGGGGAAAAACATGCAGGCTGTTTTGCCTGAGCACATCAAGCCCAGAAATTCGCGTACTGTCTAGGCAGACTGGCAAAACCCTCAAAAATGACATACAGTCATGCAAGACAAATGTCTGTTAGCCAGAGAAGCAACACAAGTATAGTCTATTTGTGAAATCCTAGACTTAAAACAATTTTCTAAACACGACAACAGTTAAAATGTTTGGAGAAGCACATTACCTTCTGCCTTATTTGTTTGTTTGCTTGTTTATTTTTGGCTTTCTGTCCAAACTAAAGGGGACTCTCAGGAATCCCATGGGAACGAGGACTGAGCGAAACCACAGACATATACCAAATTCTCCAGAGTAAAAATACGTGGATCTATAGGATTAACGTGTTCGTATAAAAGATAGGGGGAAGCTTCCTCAGTGGTTTAGGAGAAAAGCATTACCACACAGCCCAGAAGTTACAAGGCTACTAATTCATAAAAAACCAGAGCTCAGCTGGAATATTTTATAAACCAGAGGCCTCTATAGAAACCTATCAAGAGAGAGAGTATTTGGGGAAACTTTGCAACTGAATGGGTGAGTTCTGTGGTGGGACTATGCAGCGCTCCTGCTAGCAATGAAGCATGATGAGTGCCGCTCTCTGCTTTCGGGGACGGAGCAGGAGGAGAGCTGTCCTCGTGGGGGCCTGCAGTCCCGCGGCACACACAGCGCTCTCGCCGCACAACAGCGCTGGAGCGGCACCAGCTCGCTTGGCGCCTCACACGCCGCACCCAGGCGCGTGCTGGGGCCGCTCCGTGCCATCGAGGCCGTGCCTAAGCGGCACGGTGAAGGTGGGAGGAAACGAAAGAGGAATCGGCCCTTCCCACACATGCAGATAAGGCTATTCATGCATGTCATGACACAATTTGATGAAAGATTAAAAACTAAAAGAAAAAGGGGTTATTTTAGGTCTAAATGTTTCTGAAGTTTGATGTTGCAGTAAAACTAATGAAAATGAACTTCAAAAAGTAAAAAATAAATTTCAAAACACTGAAATTCATCAAGGCTCCATCCTAAGAGCTGAGATACACCCCACATAGGACCAAAGTTAACAAAGTTAAAACCACATCAGCTGCTGTAGGAAGCTTTTTCCAAACCAACAACCTAGACTAAATATAGAGAATACGTGTTGGCAACAGAACAAATAAACTATTGGCTAACAAAAGTAAAATCCTAGGTGGTTTCCATGGGGATTAGACGATATTATTATGAAGTATGATTCAGTTATAAAGAAATGATTAACTGAGTTTACGGCTATTTTTCAGCTGCAGATAACGTAGTAAACACATTACTGTTTCAGTGAGACCCACAGTAACTGTGTGGAAAACGGTGGCACTCAGGACTCTGCTTTGGAAGCCTGTCCTCTTGGATCCTAGCTTCAGAAACTTCAACCTGACGTTAAAAGACATGTCATAACATGGGTTTCAGCCTTGAGTGCTTCAGAATCGTGTTTATATACTCCGTAATGTAATTACGGCTATCTTGGACAGGTAATGCCGGCGCTGGAAGGCTTTGGAAATAGGATTGAAAACGCAGCCGCGCAGGAGCGCGTGGGGGACGGTGCCTCTGAGCGCTGCCCAGCCCCAGCGCTGGAAGTTGAATTTTTGATGTTGTCACTCCCAATGTATTGAGTGGCTGACAGACAATCAGACCCGTCTGGCCGGCTGGCAGCTCATTTTGCTGGCAGGTGGCAAACAATTAGACACACCAATTTGTGCCTCCTGATGACATTAAAGCATGAAACTAAGTTGTATGCAGGGCCCAGTGATTTGTGTGAAAGCATTTCAAAAATAATACTCTTTGCCGTGGCAACTCATTTCAGACTGCCACCTCCCATTATGGCTTTGAGCAGTGACGACGACAGACTCGAGCTGCGTGCGGTGCGGGGCCGCTTCTGTTCAATCCGGCGCCAGCGCCCCCTGAGACCCCAATCCCTGCTTTCATCAATATCACCTCGTCATTTACACGCGATGGTGCTCCAGCGGCCGCATACATTAGCTCCACCGGGGACCCTTTTCCTAAAAGGAACTGCAATGTGCTTTGTGCACCTCAATTCCATTTCTACTTATGCAATTTAGGGTAATGATTGCACTCCCACTGCGTTTTGCACGCACGCTACCAAGAGCACATCAAAGAGTTCTACTTTTTTTAAAGCAATATTCTCAAAAGTGTAATAAATTTTCAGTAGCTAAATATTGGCACAGAGGTGATTGCTTTGTTATGGTTTATTTAAAAAACCACGCTCTTACAATAATCCAAATTAAAACAAAAATGTTTTACTTAATTTTTATTTCGCTGGATTCTCTTATGCAAATTTTAATAACTTGTATTTTTTTATTTTGAGAAAATTTAAATAGGTAACTTAAAATTAAACGAAAGGAAACTTTCATTACACGAAATTAAATTACAGTGCTATTTATCCACAGAACTATGTACTTAGAGATACTTATGTGCACATGATTATATATACCCGTAAACACACCCCCCCAGATACCCTGGGACCACAAACCCAATAGGTGAGACCAGGAACATCAACAGGAAATGGCATTAGGAACACCCAAGACTCTACATGAATAAACAAACTATTTTAAAAAGAAATACCTTTCTACATTTATAGACCTTCCTTTCGTTTAGTTTTAAAAATTTTTTGACAACACATTTTATCTTGTATGACAATTAATTGCAAACATTTCTATCTCCTTTTATTACTTGTAAATTCATAAAGGACAAAAGATTTTACTCATCATTATATGCTGCATAATGACTAACGCCACTTATATTTTCACAGTAGGTTTTCAAGAAACACCTCCAGGACACGAGTTAAAATGTGTCTAGGCCAAGTTTACATTACACTCATATATAAAAACAAAATTCATCCTAACTGGAAGTGGCTTTACTGCCACACTTCTACCCCAACCACATAAAATTACTGTCTCTCACTTAGACAAAGCAGTCTAATTAGTGTAGAGAAAGCAATATAACACAGATATTATATTTTGACATTATAACTTAAGAAACATTTGATTCCCAACTTTAATCTTCTCTATCTAAAAAGAAAAAAAATTACTTGCCATCACTTTACACACATATATACATTTTTGTACGAAAAAGTGTTTTGAACGTATGTAAGGTAAAAACAGAAAAAAGTACACAAACGTAATTCAGAATATGTATCAATCCCAGTATCAGAGCATTGTTGTTAGAAGGACTGTCCTAGACTATTTTTCTAATTCTACACATGCTTTTATGAAGTATATGCACAAGTTCTTTGGCTCCAAAATATTGTATTCTCCTGTGAATTATTCTTTTCTTTTTTTGCATCTACATTGGAATAGAAAAATATTCTAGACTCTCAACTAAAATTTCCTTCCATGATTAATATTTGAGTGTAAAGATAGCTGGGGCCATGTTATAAATTGTTTAGAACCCTAAGATGCCTATCAGCAATATTTACTTCCCAATTGATGCCTCAAAATGTGGATTTTACACAGAAAATGTAAATTCCATAAGAAAGATGATCACACATTTAAAAACTATTTTTATATGCCTGCATTTAGAAGTCAAATTTGCATTTTAATACGTACAGCAGGCTATTTAATATCCAACAGTTATTAAAGTTTTCAATCATATTATGACGGAATTTCAGAGCCAGACCAGACCTGGGAGAAATCTGGCCTATCCCATCCCCATTTGTATCCGCAAAACAATTCAGTCTGAAAAGATAAAACAGCTTCCGCTGTGCAGTCACTTGAAAACGGATTATAATCAGAATCTGAGCTTCTCTATTTCCAATACAATATGATAGCCCGATACCTCACGGAAACCTGTTGGAGATCTGCTGTGCAAATGTTTTACTACGCAATCAGTCAAGTTGGTCTGTCACTGAAATGTTCTCTGTAGTAAGAATCTACATTAATAAGTACAAGGTTGTCGAGACCCCCTGATGTTTTCAAATGAACAGACTCAGGCCCGCCCCCCCCTCACCCCGCTACCACCACACACAGAGCGCCCGTAAAGAACGGGCGGCGCGCCTACCTGTCGAAGGAATGGAACTGCATAGGAAGGATCGCCTGCGCTTCCCTCTTCAGGGCTGGGTCTGGGTAGGGGACGGGGTCCGGGCCGCACTCCGCCATGTCGACGGGGGCGGCCACGAGACTTTTCAGGATCTCCTTGACGTTGATGCCCTTGGTTTGACTGATGCTCGATATGGACGGCGCAGGCTTCAACATTTCACTGGGGGCCTCAGCCAAGCTCTCTTGTGACTTCTTTACTTCGGACGACAAGGTGGAAAGCAGCTCGCTCATGGCGTCAGGGCCCGGGCCCGGCTCCAATTCCGCCCCGTTCAGGATGCTGGCCACTTGCTCCTCTCCGATTCCGGAATCAGTATGAGGGATGGCGCTCTCCAGCTGCACATCTTCACCGGGGGCCGGTGCTTCTTTCTCCTTTACAGTGTCCGGAAACGCAGCAGGGGTTTCTGTAATGAAAGAAAACGGTTCCGATAAAAGGCCTAAGTAGCTGAGACCCAGTATCACTTACAAAATAGTCTCGCACATCAGAGGAAACAAAGCCTGTAACAAACCAAGTTATCTGCTGTCTGGGTGTGCACAGCAACGCAGCTGGGTTAAAAACACAGCTCTATACCCCTGTCCTGTTGTCCAGTAACCAACCAGCTACAAAACCGTTTCTCTTATAAATCACATGGCATTTCAAAACTGACATCAAGTAAGTCTACGGAATCTCTCGGGTTATAACTGCAAGTCAAGAAAGGTATACCCACATATTTTGGGTAAACTGGGGTGCTAATTAAAACACTGGATATTTCAAAATAACCTTAGGGATATAAAATGAGAAGGTAAGATGTCAAAGGCAGTTATTTCCACTATCAAAGCTACTACTGAGTTTATTTAAAATGTGGGCATCCATGGATGACATATTTTTGGAGAGAAAATATTAAAAAAACTAAAGAGCTGTAGTGATATTTCTGAGACAATAGGACCAAGAATGCAAACACAGAAAAAAAAAGAACTCTAACATCAAGAAAAAAATCAGTATCATGGTTACTAGCATGGGCTAATTTTTCCTACAGAGGTTAATTATCAAAAGGTGTATAATTGCCCTGGCCAGTGTGGCTCAGCTGGTTAGAGAGTCATCCCGTAACCAAAAGCTGTGGGTTCGATCCCCAGTCAGGGCACATAAAGGCAGCCACCGATGGACGTTTCTGTCTCACGTCAATGTTTCGCTCCCTCTCGCTCCACTTCCCTTGCCCTCTCTCTAAAATCAAGTAGCATGTCCTCACATAAGGGTTTTTCCTAAAAGGCACATAATCAAGTCTACCACGTAGTCTGAATTTAGTTTGGCTTTATCCTAATGTGGTATCTCAGTATGTTAATTTACAGTGTGTTTTACTCAAGAGGTACACGAAAAACGTAAACTTTTCAAGTTTACTGAGTATGAAACACAAGCATTTTGCTAGCAAACAAAATAATGAAGGAAATAGAAAAAGGTTTAATTTAGTTTCCACAAGGTACCATATGAGGTTTTTTCCACCAAATATAATGTTGTTTTGTTCAGTTGACTATCAATAGATAACTAAAATCTATAACTCATTAACTAGATATTTGAAACTCCAATATTAATCTAGTGTCTCAATTATAAAACACAATTAAAAGTCTATTAAAACTGAACATTACAAAACTTTCAAATGAAGCATCAAAATATTTACACAGTAATAAAACTCTTAAGTTTCATTTTTCCTGATAAAAAAGATCTCAAAAATGAAGAGGTAAATTTGATATTTCAATAAAAATTCTATTCAAATAAGTAGGTTTTGTAAAGCACACATGATCACATTACACAGAAATAAAGATAAACACCAATGGAAAATTTTATAATAGCAATTGCAAATAAAAAAAGGATCAGTACTCAAAAAGCAGACCTTAACTTCCCATTACGCAACAATGTCTTTCCTAGAACGCGCTACTGGTAGAGCGCAGAAACGTCACCTTACATGACTTAGAGAGTTTTGTGCGACTCCAAAGCACTTTGAGTATTTAGCCTGAGCAACTTCAACTGGAAGGTAGACAAGACCAGCAGAGAAAGCATAAACGTTTGCACGTGGGCAGTTACTGTGCCCAGGACCACAGGCTTGTAACCTCTCTCTAGGGCTCATCAGTCCCGGCAGCCACCAGCCCCGTCCTGGCAGCAACAGGCCGGCCAGAGGGGTCGCAGCCTCGTCAGAAATGGGCCGCTGGATGCCAGGTGCCTCTTTCTCAGTGTTTCACTGAGCCTAATTGCGTTCATCTGATAAGTTTCATGAAAATTATGGGGTTAAATGACATGATTTCTACATGGTGACCCCATTTATCACATTCCTTCCTCCAAAAATCTTGTTTTCCAGTGATTTATGAAGTGTTTCAATGTCTTACCTATTAAATTATTCATATTGCTATTTTCCAAACTATTTAAATAAGGAATAACATGAAAGGAACATTCAGTTCCTTGTTAGTATAGCATCAAAATTATATTAAGATTAATTATTTCCTCTTCAAATAGTAATGCTAAGGAAACGAAATCACATTAAAGTGATTTAAAATAAAATGTTAAAATCTGTATATAACAGCCATGTATATTTCGTTCACATTAAATCCAAAACTGCCAACTTACATAAAAATTAACTTGAATTCTAAGGAGGTGAAAAAACTATAGATAAAAAGCTTTTAAAATCATTATTCAAGTTCATTTTACACAAGAACACAATGCATTAATTGTTTGCAATTAATTATAAATGGTCCAATTTCTGGGTTTGCTACCCTAAGTGCATGAAAGAGTACGGCCTCAGGACTGCAGTGTTATTACCAAACACGGGCCCATAACCAAGTCACAACTCAGAAGGAACAACGGGGGGCTGGGAAGGCGCCTGTGGCTGACGCTGACAGCATGCGGGCCTGTCCGGGTCCACCCGGCACGCAGGGTGGGACCCCCTTGGACTGCCCAGCGATGACTCCATCCAAGGCGGGGCGTTTTCAGACCGTTTCTTCCAGCGTCCTCTCTGCCCTTCTCTTCCTCTCCTCCCCTCTGGACGGCCCGCGTGGGCATGCTGGTTCACTTGACAGTACCCCCATGGCCTCTGAGGCTCTCCCCATGTTTCTTGCACCTTTTTCTTGTTCTGTACCTCCGAGTCCGACCATCGCCACGGGCCTTCCACGAAGTGCAACGATTCTACCTTCTGCCATCTCAGAGCTCCCGCGGAGCCCCTCCAAGGAATTTTACATTTTTGCTATTAAATTTTCATCTCCTGAATTTTTACTTGGTTCTTTTCTATAGTATTTCTTCACAGATACTCTCTTTCAGGGAGACATCTCACCACGTCAGAAAAGATCCCCTCCCATTACCTGAGCACACGTACAATAGCTGGTTCGGCGCCACCGCTGAGTGTGCCAGCAGCAGGCCTGCCTCCAGGGCACGTCTCTGGGCTGCTCTTTTCTTGTGCCGTGTGTCAGCCACACGTTCCTGCTTCTTGGTGTGTTTCATCATTTTTGCTGAAAATCAGACATTTAAAACAGGGGACGCCAATCCTGGACATCAGACTCCTCTGGTGGGGCTTGCTGTTGCGCGGACTGTTCACTGGCTCAGCTGAACAGGTTCCAGGAACCTACCGTCCTTGCCACCTGCAGCCGAGTCTCCGCTCTGTCCAGCTGGTCATCGGCTAACACCTGGACGGAGGGGGCCATCAGTGTCCGGAACCAGTGAGACTTTTCCTCATTGCCAGAGGCCCTGTGTGTATGTTGGACATGCTTTGACCACTTGCCCTGTTTACAATGCCCCCTACCCCTCACTCCTTGCTGCTTAGGGCCGGGAAGTCAGCCAGGGGGAGGGGTCTGGGGCCTTCCCAGGTCTTTCCTGGACCCGAGGCAGGCCCCAGGAATATGGGGATCTCATTCCCGACATTCCCTTTAAACTTGTCTGGTGAGGCTCTTGTTGGTCATGGCTGGCACTGCCACCTGAGGCAGTTGCAACGTTACGCAAAAACTTCTGTTAATTATTTTGACCAGTACCTTGGAAACAGGGCTTTGCTCACCAGGCAAACACTGGTCAGATCGAACAGGAGCACACCTGGTGAGCGGCGCTCTAGCAGAGCGAGCTGCCAGCCAGGCCAAGCAGTGACAGTGCCCTCAGAAGGGTCTTTCCGTGACCTCGCCACCTAGCTGGCCTCCTCACAGCGACCATGGCTGTCTGCCTTCTGGTTTCCTAGGTTACTGCAGAGCCGGGAGAGGTCGATGGCCAGAGGGCGCCGCGAGTCACTGCAAATTGCCAGATTCTCACAGATTCTGCAGTTCATCTTGACTTGACAATCTGTGGGCTGGTGCAGGCTTTTGATTGCTCTCCAGAGCGTGGCAAAAGGGGTGCGGGCCATTTCTGCCCTTCTTCTCCTGGCTTTCCTGGAAGAGCGGATTTCTGGAGGTGCTTACTGTCCCACAAGTCCTGCCTCTAAGAGATGGCTAAGCTCCAAATTTTAGTCTAGTTCCATTCTGTGCATTTTTGGTAAAATATCTAATAGAAATTATAAAATATTCATATATGTTTTGCTTTTGTCTTGCCTTAGCTTGTTTATACCCTTTCTCTTCTCAAAGAAAAAAATACATCATGCATCTCTGTAATGTAATGGAGGCAACCAGTAACCCCCAAAAAGGAATGCCAACAACTTCTCTTGAGTTGCGGAGAACCAAAAGCAAGCGAATATGGTTTAACACGGTTGCTGTCAATCAGATAAGCCACAGGTTGCACCTGGGGTGCAATGACGAGTTCATGCTTTGGAATTGAGACGGTTTTACTCCCCACCAAGGCTCATCCATGCTGTGAGGGGGACGCACCATTCGACTTCTCTCAGCCTCGCCCTTCCATCTGTACAGCGAGTGTGGTAACGGCACTACCTCTCACAGTCGGTGTGGCGGTGAGAGCACAATTCATGACGAGCACATGGCATGGAGTCCTGCCACTGTGTAGTTTCTGAAGCTGCTGCTCTCACGGAGTTGACTGTCACCATCGTTACCATCATCGTCACTGTGAACGCGGCCTGCAGGAAAACACAGAGCTCCCATTCCCGGGAGCCCTCGGCTCCCTTGGTCTCTGTCCGCTTTCCCTGGCTTTGGCCCCTTCATGTGCACACCAACACATCCCCTCCTGCGAGAGCGACTTCCCCGCCTGCCTCCCCTTGTGAGTCTAGCCCTTAGGCTACTTCGGTTTCTCCTTCCTTTCTGAAGGGAATACACCAGAATGGAAATATCATGGGGATATAATCAAATTGATCCAAGTTCCAGTTTGGGGTCCACAACTTACTAGTTTTCCATGTTGCCTGGGGAAATCAGTTGTGGTTTCAGAGTTGTAGGACTTGCCCTTGAAAAATGTACATCTTGTGTACTGTGAGGAGGATCAAGAAACTTGTCAGCTGTCATCCTTGCTAGGTCCAGCTTTCCA